AATAATTCTTTGAATCTAATCATCGTTATCGAAGTTGATAACACGCCGAATTCACGAGAGTTGAAGTGTGTGAGAAAGATTAACTAACTAATCTATAAAATAATGTGATACCTGAAGGGCCCATAACGGCCAATAATTCGCCTGGCTTGACTACTCCCGACACATCTCGCAGGAGCACCCGTTTCTCCTTGACCACCTGCAATCCCCGGAAGATTAGCTGCACCGGACGAGAATCCAGCGGGCACACCAACTGCAGCGCTGAGCTTTCCACTCTGTAAACATTGAAATATCGCACTTTCAGAAAAGATCTCTTGATATTTCCGTCCTTACCTTTTTCAACAGAAAAATTCTCATATTCGCGTAAGAAAATATCTAATATTTAGAAAGAAGATTTCTTTTCGAAAATAAGATACTTATTATTGAAAATAAAAAAGATATCATTTTAACGCAAAACTATAATTAATAATACAATTCGAAGATAAGAATTAAAATAAAAATCTTTAAAATATAAAAAGATGTCATTTCAATGCAAAACTATAATTAATAGTACAATTCAAAGATAAGAATTAAAATAAAAATCTTTAAAATAAAATTTTCAAAGTGACTGTTGTAAAATTTCAAGTTACATGTGGCACATGTGGCACATGTGGCACGCCGATTTTATTTGAAACCTTTTCACGTAGCTACGATAAACCATTAGCGTAGATTCTGCGAGCGTAATTATCGTCAGCGTTAAACGTGCTAATTGCGTTCTCCAGATCTAGATTGCCGTATCAACGCGTGACGTTGATATAAAGGAAAAAGGCGTCGATTACGTCCAGACGCTTTTATCGGAGGGATACGGCGCTAGCGAGATTAATTCGAATTTAATGGTTCGCGAGAGACATTCACGAGTATCCCATAAAAATTCACTTTAGCGCGAACCATCGGATAGGCGAATTTCGGTGGTCCACGTCGTGGAATCTGTGGAGGGAGTCGTTAAAGCAAGGTGATGTAGATTCTAGTCAGGCGTTCGCACTCGGCGCGAACGCGAGAGGCAAGCTTTATAATAACAATGACGTCTCATAGGAGTTATTTCACGACGGCAATTAAGCCTGGCGTGCGTTACGCTGAGAAATGGCGTTTCGCAATGCCAGAGAGACTCGTGCAATGTTGTTGGAAAATCTTTCTCTTTTCACCTGCCGACTGACCTCTTTCATATCTTTCAAGAACGTACCTCAATTTATTTGAAAATTTTCTCGTATTCTTCACAATTTATTAACTATTGTTTACGTTTGGAATCTTTGATATTTCAATATTACACCGTGTTCATCGCTTTCTCAAAAAACTCCTCTTATACAATTATAAGAACCTATATTACTCTTATTAGAATTGGCAATTGAAATTGGAACACGATTATAAACAGACTATGAATATAAAAATAGAAATATTTCACAAATAAGATCTAATTCAGGGCTAGGATATTATGAATCTTTTCGTAAATATTTCCAATTTGAATAATATCGTTTTTCATCAGAATAATTGTTACATAATAAGACAACTGTTATCCTATTATAAACGTTCCGATTATAACGTTGGCATTATTAAATATTGGCATATAAATGTATGTTTCTCTTTTCGTTTGTGCTAAAACGCATAAAAAGTCTATTTTCTTTTTAAATTATATAGTAACTCAAAAACAAATAGTAATCAGAAAGGCATATTAAAAATTTTCAGATTATTATTGTATATACAATGCTCTAATAAAAATTGGTATCTAAATTTTCTTTCATTGTTGATTGTTTCATTACTTTACATCTGTTTTATATATTTTAGAATTATAATTACACTCTCAAATCGGATTTCTAATATCGAGAAAAAAAATTCTTGACGTACTTAATTTTAGGTCAATTCTATACAGTATAAAATTATAACTATATTAAAGATTAAATTAATCATTTTTATTCTACTCCTTTAAATAAAATAAGATCAACATTTTATCCTGAGATAAGTATACCACATATAAATTTAGGTTTATGTATTTTTACATTTACAGAATAAGTCTATCCAGTGTTAGCAGTCTATAATACGTGCTAGGCAACGAAGCTGTCGTCACGTGTTGCATTAAGAAACACGTGCTGGACAAATGTAAAATTACATTCTTTTTTGTCTAAAGAATAGAATAAAAGATTTCCTTTAGATTGATGTTTAATATTAAATGAAGAATATTGTGTCTAATTTAAATTTTTCTATTAAAAAAATTAATGAGATAAATCAAGAAAATACTTCATTTTAGATTTTAGAATTTTTTATTTTACAGAAGAATAAATACGATTGACTCTGTATATATATCGATCTTTTTTTTATAAATTTTTTTATCAATTTTTTTTATAGATCGAGAAATAATAGTATTGAATAAAGGATTCTTTTCCGAATGAGACTTTGAATATGTACTTACTGATCTGTGCATGAATTTATCCGCGTTTTATTATAATTTCCTTCCATCTTGAAGGTGCTGCTTCCTCTTCTTCTATGTTTAAACATTTCCGCGTGCAACAACGTGCCGGTGCGTATTGTACAAGGAAAGAACGGTTACTGTGATGTATAGAAAGACTTCGAATTTTATTTTAATAATACCAGTGTTGCCAAATTTCGGAATTTTCCCCTAAATTTGGAAGATCTTCTCTACCGGAAGGACGAAAAGTTTAGGGGAATTTTTAGAAAAGATAAAGATAAATATCTATATACCTAATAAGTACCAATCCTGGCAGTTCTTATTAGCACAGACACACCATATTCATTTTCGACGCTATGATTTTTTGTAGATTTTTGTAAAGTTTTACGAAAATTCTACAAAAATCTAGAAAAAAAAATGTTAAAATTGGAATACTACTTTTGTTAATTTTGTGAAATTTTTTCCATTAGGAATATGCATTTATCATGGTTTTTTTTTTTTTTTTAGATTTCATGCAACGCTGTTGGGGAAAATTTAGAGAATTTGTTTCTAGCTGTTGAGGCTTTTGGCGAATTTTAAAACATATTTTAGGGGACAAAAAACTTTCAAAATTACTGGGTAGCGATCATGGAACTTTTTCCTTGCGGCGGAAACGTGAAAAGTGAAAATTTTTCGTATGTATGTGTGTGTACATACACATACATATGAATGTATATATACATATTGAAGAATATATGCCTGTGTGCAGTTTATTGAGAATTCATAAACGGGAAAATACTCCACAAAGCGCCATAAAAATTGTATATTGAAACGCACTTCAATATTTCGTATTACCTACATATACGAAACATCGAACGCTTTCGCGTCCGGAAATTGCATTCTGCAATTGAATCCTGCATCCTGTTCCTTGTAACTAAAATATTATTATACCGTATCCGCGATTTTTTATCGTTCATATTCCCAATATTCCGAAGATAGTGGTAACAAATTCAAGACGATAAAGGTGCCTTTTCATGCTGACGCTCGGCGTTCATTTTTAGCATCAAAACAGATCACGTGATAAAAATTGACGAATATCAGGCGTCAATTTCAATCACGTGACCTATTTTGACGCTAAAAATGCATCGAGCGTCAGCGTGAAAACGTACCTTAAAGACACGTGCAAAGCATCAGATCACAGCTCTGGGGTGCGTTCTGCGCAGGAATTGCGCACGAAGCGCATGATGCATCATTTGTCATTGTTGTTCATCAAATAATAGAGAAGGATGCAATGATACACCATGCGCTTCATTCGTAATTCGGAACGCATACCTAAATATCTACTAAAGCGTAATCCGTTTATCTAAATTGGCAACTTCTCTATTGGCTATTTCGACCGCCATTTTCAATCTAGTGGCTGTAATCCAATAAGCGCTTGGTATTATTAGTACACGACATGGGGGGTGGAGTTTACACTTGGTGCTATAAATGCTTCGAAGTGATTGACGAATCGGAAGAAAGAGTTTTTGAACAATCAAGAAATACTTCGGAGCATTTGTATAGCGTCAAGTGGACCGTAGCTATGGTTATTAGGTGAAAAATGGAGGACCTTTGCGCTACTTTGCGCTAGAGCTTTACTCGGCCGACGATACAAGCGTCACGCACGAGAAATGCCCGCCGTGAAAAATCTCATCGCAGTAGCGGGGATACGTCATCCGTGACGGCGCGGTCCGTCGGGGAAATCGGGAAGAAACTAAGCCAAGAACGCGCTCGAATCCGCGGTGCACGCGAAAAAAGCGAGGGTCGTTGAACAACGGGCTTCAGATAATAAATTCTCAGCGTGGCGATGTCACGTCATCCTGGGTTCGTTGAACCTGCCCGCTCATTGCATGTCGGTATCCAGAGGGAGAAAAGAGCAGGGAGGAGGGAAGGGGAGGGGGTGAGATGAGAAAGAACGAGAGACAGAGGAAAAGAGACGTTCATTGTTCATTCAAAATTCAGCATATCTTTTCAGGAAGCTAATTTCGGTCATATCTCCGTGTATGACACAGCTGTATTGAAGAAAGATTTCATTGATCACTCACAAGATGTAAAATACGAAGAGTTTTACATTTTTCGGATTAATAAAGAATTTACCAAAATAATTTTGTCTTAAGAGCTTTACTTTAGAGGGACAGTCATTCTTCATCGTGTATTCAAGTGTATCAAATCTTTCAGTATAGTAAAAAAATAATGTAAATGATAAATATATTTATTATATTTAATATATTAGAATATATTTAAATACAGTTTCGAAATTATTGCCGCTCTTATCATTTTAAATTCCATCTCCAACTAAAGATTAATTTTTTATTAATAAAAAAATCGGTACTTTTATTCGAACACCCTTCATGCTTCTATTTTATATATAAACATAGTAATTTAGATGTTCTTGTAAACGCCGTAATTTTTCTCAAAAATATTTAATGTTAATATACATTTTTAGTTAAATGTTAATATATCTTACTTCTATCCTTCATATAGAAAAATTTTGTAATAATAATGGCATCTAATGAGCTCCGTCGCCTCTTCACATTTTTCAGGCATTTCAGCTTGTGACAGTATGACGACGTTTAACATTCTGTTATAAAAAGACAGAAGGAAGCGATGAAAGAAAGAGCAAGTAGCAAAAAAGAGGATGTTACGAGGGAAAGAGAAACAATTTCGTCGGTTTGAATAATATTTATCGCATTTCTATCGGGGTCATCGTCGAGTTATCGTCATAATAACAAACAATTCATACAATAGATATAAATGCGACACGTTCGCGACACCGTAACAGAGAAAATATAATTATTCCCCGAGTTCGCACAAGAATAT